TATATATATATATATAGTAACTACAAATGTGAGACATCCTGACTGTTTTGTTTTGATTCAGAACAGGTAGAAATTCACTTTTTAGAGTATGGATGCCAAATTCCAAACTCCAGTCTAAGCTGCACACTTATAATATGTGCATTTTTCTGAATGTGTATCATACTTAAATAAAATGTTTAAATCCCTGTCTTTATGGAGATTACAGCCCCACTGAGTTGCCGTAAAAATTAATCATGTAAGACATTTAGGTGTGCTTGCCATATAGTAAGCACTCAAAAAATAGTGGCTACTACTATTATTCCAGTGAAATAGAGTAAACTGGGCCATCAGGGGATGTTCAAGGACAGTTTCTGCTGGCTGTGCCCCTTGGATTTGTACACAGAGTCCTTCCGTAACAGTTTCTGCTGGCTGTGCCCCTTGGATTTGTACACAGAGTCCTTCCGTAAATCAGTTAGGCATGGACCATACATCTGTCATGAAAAATGGACTTTCTTTTAAGATCAAAACAGAGGGGGATTTTATTCGTACTTGGGAACTACAGTGATGCAGGCTGCTGTGCACACTTGGACAGCATGAGGCTCCACACTTAAGGGGCTGCCATTCATACCACCAACTTCATGGGTTTGTATATTTGTTATAATTTTCTGGCAGGTATCCAGTTATCTCATCCTAGCAAAACGTACATTAAAACAACTTTCTGATAAATGGAAGTCAAATGTGAAGAGTCTCTTTTTCTGACACAAAGATGTATGGAAATACCACCTAAGAACTTGGAAATAAGGACAGGACTCCTGCCTTCTAGGAGCTGCTTTTAAAATGAACACAGACCCTGATGTAGCCACCTCTGAGTCAACCCCTGAGATTTCAGTATCAGGGCCTGTGTTTCTTTTGATCACTGAACTTAATAAAGTGACCTTGTGGTTTGTCCACCAGCCCTTGCGGTTCTGGTTGATAGAAGTTTCCAGCAGAGAGACGGATCCAAACTGAGGTCGACAAGTCATGTTTCTGAAAGTTCTTGGCTATTTACATCCTGTTCTTGGGTTTCCATTTCATGTAATTATCTATATTTGAATTTAATGCCAATCGCAGACACTGCCCCTCTTGAGAGCTAAAAAACCTCTTAAAAATCTCAAACCTGCTTCACTTTTCAGAGTATTTATTGTGCAGATCTTGACAAGACCCTGACCCAATGTGACTTCACTGAAATCCTGCTCTCTTAGGACACCCTAGTTTTCTCTTGGTGAAGTGGATTCCAGTTGGCCTCATCTTCAGAACCATGAGAGATGTTTGTTAAGTATGCACACTTCTAGGGCCCAAAACAGCAGGTCTGAGGTAGGCCCAGACATCTGTATGTTTAACAAGCATTCCAGGTGACTCTCATATCCAGGTGAGTTTAGGAAATTGTTCTAATAGGGCTTCCTATAAACGGACTGAAATCAGGTTAACTTGCGCTCAGGCAGTCCCTTAACTTTACGGATGGGAAGGGGTGTGGGAAAGCAGAGGCAACCCTCAAGTTCAAAAAGGCTTGAAGGTCAAGGGTTCAGGTACCTGGACTAGCCAGCCACAAAACAAAAAACCAAAAAGGCTTATGTGTGTGGGGGGGAGATGAAAAGAAAAACCTAGGAAGCCAGACCCTGCTTTCTGCCTTTTCTGGACTGGGCCAGGAGAAACTGCCTGCAGGGGTGAGCTGGTTGAGAGCTAGTGAGTGAGCAACAAACCTGGCCTTTGGGGGGCAGGGAGGAGCTGTCATGCAGGGCCACAGGTCAAAGAGCAAAGCTGTCACAGTGCTGCCTGTCCTCAGGTCTGGGCCTTGTATTACACCACTGGGCCAACAACAACCCAGTAAGGGGACAAGTCTTTGCCTCATCCTACTTTAAAAATCAATGGAGTTCTGGTGACAGAGGTAAGATGGGCACTGAAGTGCTGGTGGTTGGTGACATTGGGCAATCGGAGACTGTCCTCCAAATCCTAGATAGTCCAGGTGGCTGCAAATCCCCAGCCCTGGGTCCCAGCCCCCCACCCCACGCCCAGCCATCTGCTATGCTCAGAACAAAGCCCAGGAGAGGACCCAATTCTAGACTAAAATCTCACTACTGGCCCCTTTAACAGGGGGAACATCAGTCCTGGAGAAGTGGACGTGGGGGCTAAGGCAAAAAAGTATCATCCCCCAAGGGCCCGTTTGAAGCCTCAACAGGCAGGAGAGGAAAAGCTTCCACTGTGCTCCCCTCTCTGGCCTTGGCTGCACTAACCTGGGGAGGGGAAGACAGGCTGAGCCCAGGCTAGGAGCAGGCTCCGCACTCCCAGGAGCGTGGACCCGAGTCTGCCCTAGACCCATGGAGCCTTCAGTGGTGTGTCTCCTCCTGCCCACTGGGCCTAGCCCAGAATGGTGTGAGGTGGAGTCTCACTGGGGATCTCCCAGGGCACCTAGTGAGGGCACGACTCTGACAGGATCCTCCACATTCTCTCCTTCCAAGAAGGAACAGCTGCTTTCTATTCTCCTTTTAAGAGGCTTGTGCTGGTGGTTAAGGCCGAAAAACCAAACCAGTTCAATACGAGTTACACTGCCAGGAGTTGGGGGAAGGGCCTGGCAGCTGTGAAGAGAGGAAATACGACGGACTTGGAATCTGAAAACCAGAGTCCACGTCCCGGCTGCACCACTCCTTAACAGCAGGACCCTGGGCACGCCACGTGACTTGAGCCTAGTTTCTCTTCTACAAAATGGAGCTAACAGCACCCACTGCACAAGTGCCTTGGAAGGGTGAAAGTTAAAGCACTGTGAATAGGTGTCATTGTCATCACTATTGCTACCAACTGCCCTCAGGATAGACTGGGAGGTGCCTGAACCTCCCACCCCTTCTCCTTAGAGGCCAGCCTTCCTGTTCCTCCCCTGGCCCCGGGGAAAATGGTGTTACGTGTTGTTGAGGGACTGGGGTGTCCTCCCTCCGGGATCCAGATACAACAGCCAGGAAGAGCACAGTGACCAAGTGTGGTCATCAGGGAACAAGGTTCAAGACCAACAGGCAGCGCCAGATGGAGGTGGGCAGGAGGGAGGGACAGGAGCTGGTGGGGTAACCAGTGAACACTTTACACAAGTGGGAAGGTCCTGGGGAAGGAGAGGCAGGAGAGAGGGAGGAATGAGGGCAGCCAGGTGCCCAGGACACAGGTGAGCAGCTGGGCCCCGGAGCAGGGTGGGCAGGGCCTGGGAACTCACGGAGAGCAAGGGCAGCTGAGAGATGGGATCGGCCTTGCCCCATGCCCACACCTAGCCTCACCCCAAAACAACCCTGGGCCCTCCTTGCACGTGGTCTTCCCAAGAGCTGGCAGGTTCAGCCTCAACAGTGGGAAGATGGGAGCAGCCTCCCCATCCTCAGTCCCCAAGGCTGGAAGGTGACAGGCAGGAAAGAGCAACAGCGACTCCGGGCACCTTCCTGACGTTTGAAGAGGACTCAGAAATCAGAACCAAAAGGCCGAAAGGCTTTTACTCTGTGAGCCCTGGAGGAGGGCCAGGCAGAGTGAAGGTGTCCACAGGAGCGGTGGGCAGAGGGGGAGCTGTGGGGTGCTGCAGTCTTGCTTCCCTGTGGGGGCAGGAGTGAGGGGAGGAGTGAAGGCCAGGCATGCCCTCCTCATGGGCTCCAGTCCTGGTGCCCAGCTCTGACACCTGCCCCTCCTGAGTTCACGCTGGAGTCCTCGCAATCCTGAAACGGCATGGCCTGCCCCAAGCCTGTGTCAGGAGAGAAATGCTTGGCAGAGGGAAAAGGCTGGTGCAGGCTGCCCATGGCTGCTCTGAATTCTTCCTGGAGCTTGTGCCTTTCCTTGGTGGGAAGAGGGCACAGGTGAGGCAGCGAGGCCCTGAAGCTGGGAAAGCCATCTGTGGCCACCAGAGCCAGGCCCTAGATGCTTCAGCTTTGAGATCAGGAGTCTCATACAGGGGACACTGGGTTAGGCTCAAAGCTCATCAGGGGGGCTATGTGTAAGCGGGGATGCCTTCTGGATGCCCTCATCCTCCTCGGGGCTGGGGTCTCCCTCAAGGCCATGCAGCTCCTTCCTCTGCTTGCTGCTGCTGCTGCTCTGGCCACCTGATGCCTTGGCCTTGCTGAGGCCTTGAAGGGGGAAGGGTAATGGGGGAAGGGAGGGAATGGGGAAGGGGATCGGGGAGGGGGAAGGTGAAAGGGAAGGGAGAAGGGAAGGGGCCTTTCCTTGGTGGGAAGAGGGCACAGGTGAGGCAGCGAGGCCCTGAAGCTGGGAAAGCCATCTGTGCCCGCCAGAGCCAGGCCCTAGACGCTTCAGCTTTGAGAACAGGAGTCTCCGTACAGGGGACACTGGGTTAGGCTCAAAGCTCATCAGGGGGGCTATGTGTAAGCGGGGATGCCTTCTGGATGCCCTCGTCCTCCTCGGGGCCGGGGTCTCCCTCAAGGCCATGCAGCTCCTTCCTCTGCTTGCTGCTGCTGCTACTCTGGCCACCTGATGCCTTGGCCTTGCTGCTCTTCTTCTTGGACTTCTTCCCTCCCAGGGTGGCTGTGTCCCCCTTCTTGCCAGACCACCGCTCTGTCAGGCAACCTGGGGTGAGGAGGAGAGACACCCTCAACAGAGGTGCCTCAAACCAGTTTGCTGGGTGAGGAGCACTGACTGGGGAGCCCCTGGGAGTAGCGACTAGAATTGGTGGCTACATCAGCATCACTACCTCCCACCTCACTATGGCCCCAGGCCCCTCTGGGGGCATCTGCATGTTGTTCTGCACCTGCTCTAGTTGCCTCTTACATGCCCTCTGCTTCTTTTCTGTCCTCTCCTACCCCCACCCCCTGAGGCAGAGCAAACAATAAAATCATCAAGAGCCAACCCGCCCTTCCTTCTCCCTCCCGTCAGACTCACTGGTGTCCTTTCCCTTCAGCACATGGTTGGCACAGAGGAATTGGGTCAGGTCCTCCTCCTGGTGGTTTCTGTACCAGTCCTCGATCACCTCCTCGAACTCTTCCACCAGCACGTCGCACTGTTAATCATACCAGCTCATATTGGCAGAGCCCCAGCTCCTGGCTTGCTCCTAGAGGAGCTCAGCCAAGCCTCATGACCCACCACAAGATAGGCAGGTGGCTGTGATTCACCTATGGAAACTGAAGCCAGAAAGGCAAGATGACTTGACCAAAGTCGCCCAGCTCTTGGTGGCCCTTCTTAGAGCAGACCCAATCCCTCCAGCCCCTAACTGGGGCACAGCAGCCTCTGATGGCTGAAGGGGCCTGTACCTGCTTTTTTTTTTTGGTGGCTGGCCAGTACGGGGATCTGAAGTCATGACCTTGGGGTTATAAGGCTGCGCTCTAACCAACTGAACTACCCAGCCAGTCCCCTGTACCTGCTTCTTGAGGTCAGCCACCTCTGCAGAGGTCTCGTTCCACAGCTCATAGGGGATGTCCATCACCACCTTGACTCCTTTGTGTACCAGGTTGTGTAGCGTCTCAAAGGTCTCTGACATGCCCTGTAAGAGGTGACAGACATGGGAGGCAGAGCCACCTTTTCTATGTCTGGCCCTCCTCTCCCAGTGGTATCTGAGGACCTACTCTGAGAAGTCAAGACCTTTTAAGGCTTCTCACCCTTGACCTTACCTTCCTGTCCTCTCTTTTAGGCCTCCTTCCCACAACCCCTGCACACACACACACCCTGACCTGCCTCCCCACACCTCACCCTTTCAAAAAGATCTGTTGTTGCCCTCAGGCCCTCTAAACTTATACTCCTATTCCAGGAAATACTCTGGTTTTGGCTCTTTTCCCTCACTGTGGATGGGCACACTCGGCCCCCTATATCCAGACCTACTTCCTGCTGCAGGTTCTTCCTGACTTGTGTCCTCCCTTGGTGACAAGAAGGCATAGCTGAGGCAGGAAGGACTCTTTATTCTGTAAAAACCATCTCTGCCATCTATCTAAGTCTTACCCCAGAGAAAACATACTATCCATTTCCTCTATCTTCCCAGAGATAATTCATACAAATACAAACATACAAATATTTCATCTCCCCCATCCCCGCTTTTTACACAAGCAGTAGTGTATCATATACACTATCTTCCACCTTGCCGTTTTTACTTTAATAATATACCTTGGAGATCAGTTTAATTTAGTTCATAAAGAGCTATCTCATTCTTTGTTTTACAGTTATATAACAGTCCACCAAGAGCTGGCTGGTTCGCTCAGTTGGTTAGAGAGTGGTGCTGGTAACACCAAGGTCTAGGGTTTGGATACCCGTACCAGCCAGCCACCAAACAAACAAACAAAAAAATAGTCCGTTGAATGGCCATATCAATGATTTAACAACTCCCCTACTGGTGGATAGTGAGACTGTTTCTAATTTTTTTGCTAAACACTTTTTATTAAAGCAAACATGGATTTACTACCGAGTACAGAGCAAAATTCATGCAAATTTTAAAGATAAAACCTAAGACTTATGCTACTTGAGATGATACCCTTAGGTGTCCCAGGTGTTTATGACTGATCTCCTTTGCTAGATGGGAACTTAGGTTGAAAAACGTGGGCAGCAAGTGTCTTACTATGTGCCAGACACTGGAGATGTCAACACATAGAAATATGAGCCTTGTTGTAAGCAGCTCATTTTCCAGGGAGAGAACATTCGTGCACACGGTGAGTGCACTCAGTGTCCCACAGGCACCCTAGTAGGGTTCTAGGGAGGTGCTGTGTGGGCTCAGAGGAGGAAATGGGCAATCACTTTTCTGGTGATTGTCTTCTGGCATCTCTCCTAAACCCCAAAATTCTGCACATCCAGGACCTTGCTGAGTTTTCTCTGCTCGAGTGTCTCAGGTCCCCATGGGGGCTGCCACCGTGGAGCATTTCTGCCTGTGTCTGGGACGGAGGCAGGACCCTGAAGAGCAGGACCAGGCCATTATGAATGTGCCTACTGCTACTGAAAAGTCAGGCCACTCAGGAGGAGTAGAGTGCAAATGGCAATCAAAGAATGGAAAGAGGCAAGGAAGGAAGCTCCCAGGGTATGACCTTCAAATCACACTCACAGCAGCAGGCACACTTAGATACATGCAGGTCTGGCCCCAGAGGGGAATGAAGGACAAGCACAAATCCAACCTTGGCAAACCGGTTACTCCCGGTCCTCTCCTTGTGCAGACTATAGTCCAGGAGCCTCTTGCAAATGGTCTCAGTGACTTCAATTAACCGTAAGTCCCTGCCGAGACAGCAGCACGAGAGGAACTGAGTTCCCTTCCTAGGCCCAGTGGGTTAGTGGTCCGTCCCTCCAGCCCTGCTGCCCCAACACCTGCACATCTCACCAACGGGAAGTCAGAGCTGGAAGGAAGATAGGTCATCTGGTCTGGGGGCTCTGAAATGCTGGAACACAGACCAGAGAGACAACATTTTAACAGCTCTAAGGGAAGGAATTTTTTATGAAGCTAAATGATTCAGTTTTAGATTTTTTTTATATAGCAAATGTATTAAATTTTGATGGTAAAATATCATTTCATTTTGAAAGGATGATAGTAGTAGACAGAATTTTGGGGGGGGGGGGTTTGTTGCCAAGTAATATTTATACTTAGCAATCCTATGTTACCAATATTTTAAAAAATTGCATTGGTCCAAAAAATCCAAGAGTCTGGGAATCACTGATACAACCCAACAGTCTTGCTTTCACAGCTGAGGAATCTGAATCCCAGAGAAGTTAAGGGATTTATGAAGTCACACAATTAATTGGGGGCAGAACCGGTTGGCAAACTTGGGTCTTAGGGCTGACTCCCTTGTGGTGGGTTTGCCTAGCTAGAGGAGAGAAGGGAAATTCAAGTCCCCAAAGCCTCCAGGAACAAAGCAGTCCAGGCCAGTGAGTCCCCATTCACTTACGACTTTGTGTATTTGACTCCAGAGGCCTTCCGGTCCAGGATGCCATAGCCTGTGTCAATCACCTCCTTGGTCTTGCCAGTTTCCTCAAAGGCTGACTTCAGCTCCACAGCAACATATTTGCACACTGGGAGAGGGAGACACAGCACAGCCAGTGACTGTATGTGAGTCTCTGATGGGAGGACAGATCCCAGAAAAATATGCGCATGTGGGTGTCCTTTCTTAGATTGGGTCAATACTCAAGGCATGGAAGGAGCTAGTACCAGACCACCAAATGGAGTTGACTATGTGAAACTGTGGTGCCAAGATCCATTGCCCCATGTCCACACTTCGCCTTTATCCTACTGACTTTATTGCCTGCCCATCACCCTGCTCTCACCTCCATCACTATATTTAAAAATTTTTTATACATACAGAAAAGCTGAAAGAGTACAATGAATAACTATATACCTTCCACTTATATGCAACAATTGCTAAAAATCTGCCCCAATCTTTCTCCAATATGTAAAATATAATAAATCTCAACAATATATACATTGTTTTTGCTAAACCATCTTGAAAGTTAGTTGCAAATATGACCTTCAACCCTAAATATGTCACCATCTAGCTCTCTTTTTTTTTTTTTTTAAAGATGACCGGGGCCGGCCCGGTGGCGCACTGGATAGTGCACCGCTTGGGAAGCACGGCGGCACTCCCGCCCGAGGGTTCGGATCCCACA